TGATAGGACACCCTCCTCACAACCCATACCTTCTGAGACTGCGGGTGACTAAAAGACCCAGTGATCACCCTCTTGTGCTTCCACTTAGCCTGAGAGTCATGTAGAAGTCCCTCCATAGCAATGGCAGCATTCATCAAAGCACCAGAGGTCTGATAGCCCCCTGTATATAACATATCTTATAAGATGCAAGAGAGACAACGATTAAAATGGTCCATCTTCTTCTCATCAGTATCCACATGAGTCCACACATACTGTGCAAGATAGTTGAACTTGTTCACATACTCCATCACAGTCATGTTTCCTTGCTTTAGCTCTAGAAACTTGGATAGCTTCCTGTTCAGCAAACCAGCAGGAATATAGTACTAACAAAAAGCAGTGGTAAACTTCCACCAAGTCACATGGTGGTCCATAGGCTGCATGGCATTGAAAGTGTCCCACCAAGCACTAGCAGATCCCAGAAGCTGGTGTGCGGCAAAATGCACCTTCTGCCCGTTAATCACATTGAGTAGCTAAAACTTCTGCTCTAGAATATGAAGCCAATGCTCTACGTCCAGAGGCTCAGCAGTCAGCGTGAACATGGGCAGGTGTGTCCCCAAAAAGTCTTGATAGGAACAGGGCCTCTCGGGACATCGAGCACCACCCCCATTCCCACCATTGCCACCGGGGCCTCCACGGGTGAAGCCACCAATAGCTTGTGCTAGCATCTCTAGGGCACGAGCTGACTCGCGACGAGCAGCCATCATCTCGGCATAGGTCATCAGAGGTGGTGGTAGTGGTAGAGGAGGACCAAGGAGTGGGGCCTCATGGCTCTCCCCGTTGGCATTGCCATGATCATCGCCACGGCCATTTTTGCCCTAGTCTTCACCAAGACCATGGCCAGTCCAAGCGCTGGTGCTCCCACGACCAGACCTCAAGTTTATCTGTAAACAGATAGGAACCCACCGTTTGGGACCAGGCCTCCATACTTAGAAACAAACAGCTTGAGAGATGATAAGGCCCAATAAATGGTTACAAGCGAGAACTTTTCCTTAAGAGTTAAACCATTTCTCTTTATTTATTATTCTATCAATTTACTATCCAAAAATTGTACGTGTGAGGGAGTTTAGTTTAAGCAAGATCCTCTTTTCATGATACATGGATCGACCTGTTCGTTCGCTCAAGCCAGAATATAGTGGCATTCGTATATAATTTTTAGCACAGCGCACACTCACTTCCCGTACGCTAAATGATTCTTACGTGGCGTAAGTTAGTGTACCTGTAGAAGATTGATTAGATAAAACCAGTGCCACTATCCTAGATAGACTATATTACTAGGGCTTATACTTATTTACATAATTCATCGTATCCTAATTTTTGCAAAGTTTTTGTTGGTCAAATTTTAGGTTATAATACTAGAGTTCAGAGTGCGATAATTAAATAGCAGAATAAAAATAAACATCTAGCGAAAACAATACAAGGAGCCATCTGTTCCCACCAGAAGAATCCTCCACATAAGAGCTAATCCTCAAGGTACTCCTGCAACAGGGGTAAAATAAACCCTGAGTACACAATGGACTCACAAGACTTACCCGACTAGTAAGAATAGTTTCTCGACTCTCAAGGATATGATAGGCAATATGAGTTTGCCATTTTCTTTTTGTTTGCGAAAAGCATTACTAGAAGTACGTCCTTAAGATCAAGTTTAATTAGCAGTCATGATTACTTCATTAGCTAACCATTCTAGGAGGCGGTTCTAAGACCACCTGCCTGCACAAGAATCTCCTCCTCATACTCCTTGACAATCTCCTCAAACTCATGATCGTCGGTGGTCACGATCTCCGCCAACTCATTCTCTACATGCATGCGATGATGGTGCAACACTTAGCATTCAGGCAACAGCAACTCTTAAACTAAGAATGCGCATACCAAGCTACTAAACTAGCTCTAATGACTAAGATACTAAGCTAACTATCATCTTCATCAAGCAAGGTGTTGGATTTAACTAACAAACACTCAGTTTTGCAATTTAAGGGTATATCTTTATTTCTACTAATGGTTTAATGTATTATGAAACGAAGAGCATTTAACAACCCTAATGCTTAGTCTATTCTAAGGCTACAAAAATTACAATGAGCACAGAATAATACAATGAAGCTACTATAAAAATTCTAGCACTAAAGCTATCACCAATTTACCACAAAAATTCCTACAATAATTAACTTAATATTATTAAGCATCCTCAAATGATCTAATAGCTCCTAATGTCAACATATATAAACATGAACTAAATACACCAACCGATAGAGCATAATTTTAGAAATCTAACAAAATTTATTTCTCAATTTTTGGACACCTACATGATTTTATATGATTTACCAAAGATCAACTCAAAAATTAAATTAGAAAACCATTACTAATTCCTCATGAAAAAGAAAACTAAATCTCCCGTGAGGCCCACACGCGCGGCTCGCACGACACCGCGCCCACGCGTAGTGGCCCATTAGCGTGGCACACGCGAGGCTGGCCCGCTCACGAGGCGGCCCGCGGCGGGGGAGTCCCACACGTGTTGGCGATTTTGCAAAAGAGACCTCAAACTCCTCCCAATTTACAACTAAGTGCTAACACTATTTTTTCCTCTCTCAGACCTTCTCACTTAACCCTTAGCTTTTCCCTACTTCATCCGCGCGTACCCCTAGTGACTCATCGCACGTGCCAGCCACCAGAGGCTCGCGCTGGCCCATCGATCGGGCTAACCTTCAACTACGGTCCAACCGCCTACACCAAGTAGCAACACAGGGCGGCGGGACACGCTGGAGCGAGCTATAGCGACGCGTGACCATTCACAGCCACGGCGCAGCTGCCTCGGTGATCCAGACCACCTAAGAACCTAACTAGCTAGCGAGGGAGCATCAGTAGACTACCATGGACCCAGCCGAGGTGACGGTTTGGGTGGAGGATGGCAGAGGAGGTGTGGCCATGTACGGCCGAGTCATGCGGCGGCGCACCCTGGTGGCACGGTCGCGTCAACGGCGATGGGGAGGCGGTAGCGGTTCCACTGGCGTATGCAAGGTGGAGAGGGAGGCCAGGCAAAACTAGTGGTGCAGGTGAATTGGCTCGGTAGGGACGGTAGGAGGGCTGCCCTCGTCCACGGCCGGACGTGGCCTTATCAGCACGACGATGGGAAAATGCCAAATTGGAGCTCGACCGAGCGCCATTCAAGGCAGGGTGGGGTCGGGCAGCAAGAGGACTTGATGGTGGAGACATAGGCGCGTGGAATTAAAAGGAGATGACCACTCGCTGGTCAATTACATGGGACGCGACTCCGACGGTGGCAGCAGAGAGAGAGACAGGCCGGTAGGTGGCACAACATGGCCTCGCCTTGGCAGGACGTGCTCGGTGTGACCGGGAAGGCATGCACATGGACGCAAAAGGACAAGCGGGCGCATCCCCGACCGGCCATGGCCCGCATGGCGCAGCACCATAAATGGCAAGGCGACGGTGAGCACGACCATGTGCGCATTGCAGTGGCGACCTCGAAAGGGCTAGCAGTGGCCAAAGGTGCAGAGAGAAGCGTGGATGTGATAGTGAGGCGATGGTATCGGCAGCGACTGCGTTGCGGCGTGAGGTGGGTCGGTAGTGTGGCGGGACAGCCAACAGCGCCGCACGGCCACGCAAGCAGCGGCGGCGGCTCCACACGGTAGAGGCCAGTGGTGACCAAGCCAGAGGCAGCCGTGGCCAGCCACACGTGGCAGCGCGGCGACGGCGTGCGTCCGAGCGTGGTGACCGCGTCCACCCGGCCAACCCAAGAACGTATCGTGCACGCATTTTAAAGCACCTATAAGAACTAAACGATTGCTTCTAGACCTAAACCATCTTCACCATGCTCAAGATGGCATGTGAGGCTACCAAACCGAGCTAAAACATAACACCTATTCTTAACCCGATTTTGCAAAATAAATTACCAAACATGGCATTGTCTAGCTGTCTATATACTTAAAAATCTTCTAAGTCTGAGCTGAATTTGATTCCAAGTTGCATTTCTAGGCTATTAGAAATGTTGGCTAGCAATGTTATTTTTCTACAGCAAGTATTTCATTGTCATCTACAAAGTTCATATTTCAAACTTTATTTAAGCGTCAAATATATGTTCTATAGTATTTTTGTTCAATAAAAATTAGTTTTAAACCCTACTTGATACATATGAGTTATGGAATAGCTTATCATTTAACTTTTTTATTGATCATCTGAAGTTACAAAAATATTATCTACACCTTCCATCACATGCATTATCACATAAATATGATGCTCATGACATGGTTTGGTAATTTGTTTAGGGCGTAACACCGAGGTTGTTACAATTAGGAGATATGGATTTGGCTCTCTGTTGCTTTTTGACAAGTGTTTTGTCCCTAAGAAGTTTTCTAAGTGGCTGGCGTCTCTTGTTGAGTCGAAGTCTAGAGATCTTATTGTTCATGGGGAGGTTATATCGTTGACTGTCAAATCTATGAATCTTGTTCTTGGTATTCCTATTGGTGGTACTCCTTTTCCTTCCAATTATGCTGCAGGCAGAGCTATTGTTCTATCTAAGATTGACAAGACTTCCTTGCCTCAAGTTTCTTTCTTTGCTGATAAGTTGGCAGCCGATGATCTTACTGATGAAGTAGTGCTGATCTAGTTTTTTGGTTGTGGCTCTGCATTGTTTCCTTTGACCAAACTCTAATTTAGTTCCGAGCCCTTGCTACCTTGGTGTGTTTGATGACCTTGAGCATATCAGTTCTTTTGACTGGTCAGGGTTTGTTTTGCATTGGTTGCTTGATGGTGTTAAGAGTTTCAATAAAGGAAAGAAAGATGGTCATTAAAGTTTTGGTACTCTTGCTGGATGTATGTTCTATCTTGCTGTAAGTTATCTCTAGTCTATGTGCATTGTTTTTATTGTTTTTGAATTCTCAGTTTTGTATCATTGTGTTTGAATTCTTTAGTTTATTCTAATTTTTTACTTTTTCTATTTTATTTGCAAGGCTATGTGTTTGGATCATGTTGACTTTTCTCATCGCCATGTATCTGATACCTTTCCTCGAATTGGAGTTTGGAAGCAAAATATGATCAGAGATTTTTCTGATCTTGATATAAAATCTCTGTCTGGTTATGGTATGAGGCCTCTTCTTGATTTTGAGAAGACTTTCTATCACAAGGTATTTTTTGTCATATTTTTTGTTTATATGTTTTTATGTTTTAACATTTTTTCTTGATTGATAGGCTTTCACTTCTCAGCAAGAATCAGTTTCTGAGGCTTCTGATGTTGCTGAGTTCTTGTCTAAGCTTGAAGCAGATTGTGGTTGTGATGTGCCTGACAGTTTGAAGGCTAGTTTGTCGAATGTCATTGAAGAACATTGCAAGGGTTGTCTTCCTTATATTCCTGTTGATTTGGTCTCTCTCGGTGCTCTTCATGATGATTTGAAGACCATGTTCTCTAAATTGATGAATCATGTATATTCATTTAAGCAAAAGTCACATGAATTAGTTATTAAGGTTTTGAAGGAGTTTGTTGATTATGAAAGTTCTTCTGATCCTCATATTGCTTCTCCTAAGATGGCTGCTGCATTAGGAAATGTAAATGGTTTTCATCAACCTCATGATTCTCAGGTACTACTTTAGTTTGTTTTTATGCTTTTTTTATTTATACATTGTTTTTTTTATTTGTAATTTTCATTCTTGTGAACTGTAGGTTAATATTGAGAAAGTTGAAAGAGCTTCTTCTTTGGCTATGGATCTCGGTGAGTTATCTTCTGTGCCCATCCATTGCCTATTGTTTTGTTTTAGTAATGATGTGTTTTAATTTGTTGTCTTATTTCATGTGTTCATATTAGTTGCTCCTCCCGTTGGTACTCAATTTGGAGGTCAGGCTGTCATGGGTGTTGCTCCGGGTTCATCTTCTAAGTGTGAGTTATTTATATATTTTCCTTTGTATTTGTGTTTCATTAGTAATATTTTTGTTTTTAATTTGTTATTTTTTAAAAAATTATTAGGTGTTCCTTCATCTTCCAAGAAGCAAGTTACATTTGGTTTAGCTGTTTCTCCGAATGATCTTTCTCAGCCATATTATCTTTTTTATAAAAGCGTTCGTCGAGGTCATCTTGTTGGGAAATCTTCTTCTCAGACTGTGCCTGCACATGTTGTTGATGATGTAATTCATGTTGCTAAAGATCATGATTTTGATGTTTTAGCTGGTGGATTTAATTCTCCAGATCATTTTACTATAGTAAGTTAATTTCTGTATTGTTTTCTTATGTTGTTGTTTACATTTTTTTGCATTTAATCTTATTATGTTTTTTATTCTATTTGTTTAATTTTTGTATTTTCCAGGCTCTAATTGTTATGCAGACTCTTTCTTTTTCTGATGATGAGTCTCCTAATATAACTCCTAAGCTGTCAAAGAAGTTGCCTCCTATTTCTCAGCTGAAACCTTCATCTAAGGCTGGACTGTTGCTGCTCCTGTTAATGTAATTATTTACTTATTGGTTTCTTTTAATTATTTTTTTTTTGTTCTATTCATATTATTTTTATTTGCTTTTTCTTCTTTCTCTTTTTTGGTAGGTGTCCTCTCCTGAAGTTAATATTGTTGGTTCAAGATCTTTATCTCAGAAGCTCAGGTCGATGGGAAAGAAATCAGAAATTTTATATAATTCAAAATTGCAGAATTCAAGTTCTAGTGTGCATACTCCTCGTGAATCTGTTTTGAAGATTGGTGGTCATCCATCTTTGATTCCCAATCAATTCGCTCAATCTTCAAGTAAATCTGATTTCAAGATTTCAGAATCTTCTACTGGTGGTAAGGTTCCTCTTCATGGCCCTAGGAGGACTGTTAAGCCAAGTCAGTATATGGGTGATGAATTTGAGATTGAAAAGGGAAAATTCAAAGTTAGTAAGTCTTAGATTATGAATTACAAGGCTATATGTAATTTGGCCATGTCACAGTACAATGGGTATGTTTTATTTGTTTTGTTTTGTTTTTGTATTCTTATATTTCATTTCTGGTTTTCTTTATCTCTTTATACTTTATTCTGTTTATTCTTTTATTACAGTGATGATGCTATCTTATTTGGAGGAGTTCGATGCACCTTTTGGGCTCTTGGTGAATCTCTTAAGCCTGGTGGTTTTGTCATGAACTTCGTTATTGCTGCATTTTGCTATCATTTGTACTCTCAGCCATTTGGTCATCCTGATGTTTCTAAATGCCACTACTTCTTTTCTAGTATCTCTGTAAGTGTTTTTCTTTCTTTTTTCTTTCTATTTATTTTTATTTATGTTTAATTTTTCTCTCTACCCTTTTATATATGAAGGATCAGCTTCTAAAGGATACAGATACTGCAAGTGAAGATATCTTGAACAGAGCTTTTACCATAACTGCTTGTAGATTCCGAATTTCAAGTTTTGGTGAAAGAAATTTGGTTTGATTGATATGGGTTTCCATGGTTATAAGGTGTCTTATCCATTTGTTCCCAAGCAGGCTGCTAATAATCTGTAAGTTATGTTCCTGTTCATTGTGTCATTTTAGTTTTTTTTTTTTTTATATGTTTGTTTTTATATAATTTTTTTCTTAACTGTATTGTCAGGTAAATCTAGATAGTTATCAGGTGTTTTACGGGTTTTGGTCACTCGATTTTTTGTGTGCATCCGATTTGACATCTGTTTGCTGCTCAGTTTACTGTGTGCTAGTGAATTTAGTGCTGCGCCGTGTCCTAGGCCATCCGTCTCTGATATTGTAGGTTGTGCTATTGTGTTTAGGGAGCTATGTTCAGGCTTTTTTACAGCTAGTTGCCCGCCTGTTGGTCAGACTTGAGAGCCCAGAGGCTAGGTGAAGCATTGAATGCTAACCTCTTCATTCATGCATCGAAATTGAGACCATGACATGTCCCTGCCTGGCTTGCTATGTTGCCTCTGTATTGTTCTTCTCTGCCCATATCCATACTAGTATGATCTTCTCTCTCAAAACAACAGGGGTCTTACCCATGCATGCATGGCGCCAGATTATCTTAAGAGAAGCTTTGCTTGATTACTAATTATAGATTACATATTATTGTATCATAAATTATTACTATTCCTGTTTGGGTGTAGTTTTGTGTTTATTGGTGTAAATTGATTGTTCATGAATAATAATAGTCATAATTAGTTGAACAATTATATGATCTTTTTTTGTTTTTAATTCTAGATTTTTTTGTCTGTTGAAAATCTAAGTATTTTCTTTGTTTGTAGTTCTGATTCTGGTGTTTATTCCATGATGTTTCTTGAGCATTGGAAATCGCCTCGAACTTCTTTATTCACTCTATTCAAGGAATCTGACATTCCGAATTTGAGGATTAAGTTTGCTAATGATCTTGTGTTTTCTATAAAGAACACAGGTCGCAAGGATCTTGTCACCAGTTATCAGTTTGAGGTAAGGTTTTATAAGTAACTTTTTTAGTTTGTTTGTTTTATTTGTTTCATTGTAATAGTTCCTAATTCGTGTGACTCTGTTATAAATTTAACAGGATAATCAAGACATGCAATCATTGTGGTCTTGTGCTTTTGCGCTAATGCTCATATCATCACAGCATCTTAAGTAGATGTACAAATGTTCAGACATTATATTGTCCATGTGGAGGTTTCTGTAATAGGTGTAGAATTTAAAACTAGAATGCTTGATATGATGCCCTATGGTCTGTAATTGCTACAATCTAGTAGATAATATGGTTCTATGTCCCCATTGATGGTGCTGTTTGATTTTGTCTTTTGCCTTGCTGTTGTGTTGTGATCCATCTCTTTCAGACTATGCATTGCTTGTACTTCTTCTCATTTTCCTCTTGCTCTTTCCATTTGGACCTGCATTGATATTATTCTTGTTAGTATATAATATCTATAGTAGTATTATATTTATGTATTTTGCTATTATTTTTGTATTCTTACTTGAAGTTTCTGCCTTCTTGGCGTTCTTCTTTTTTGATGCCTTTGTTTTCTCTCTTTCTTGTTCAACCATATCTTTTCATCTTTTTGGCTTTACTGGTCTTCCTTTGTTCTTTATGCTCTCTGGGTCTTGCAAAGTGGATGCATCATCTGATTCCTATCTCATCTGTATGTCTGGTTGCTCTGCATTATTAGTTGCTCCTCCAGATGCCTTAGCTGCTTGTGTACCTTCAAGTAATGTTCTATTTCCTGATGATAGGATGATTTCTAGGGTTTTCCCAATTCTTTTGAACTCATCCAGTAGATATTCCATTGCTTCTTCCTTTGTAGATCCTTTCAAAGTTAGTTGTGCTGCTTCTCTTGATAGGATATTGAATCTGAGGATGTCATATGTGGTTGTTGATGATTGTACCCTTTTCAGGTTAAGTTTCTTTCCCTTTTTCTCCACCTATCAATTATATACTTTTCTGGAATCTTGCTTACTGTTTCTACTAATATTTTGAGGATATGAGAGCAAAGGATTCCATCCTTGTTGAATTTGCAGCATATGCAGCTATAATCTTCTCTCCCCTATGTCAGGTCAGTGATGACTATGTATCTCCTTAGTCTGTGTCTGCTATGTACTTGATTTGTCTTCTCCCATACCTCATATTGTCCTTGCTGTTCCAATTCTTTATAACTTAGTCTAGTTGTAGCTCTTAGTTCTTTCATAAACTTGCTGAATATATTTTTGTTGTACATCTCCATTGCTTGTAGTTCAATGTTGTACCCGAATTCCATTAGCTTGGGAGTTTTTTGTTTGTTTGCATTGTCTTCTCTTGCTTCTGCTATGTTTATTGTATCTACTATTCTTTGGTATTCTTTCAAGAAGCTTGTTATGTTGTATGTAGGTCCTACATTGTCCTTGATCCTAGCATTAGTGCCCTCAATTCTGCCTATGCTCTGAAGAAATGGGAAGAAATCATTCTTGAAGTACACTGGTACAAATCTTTCCCTCATTTCCCATATCTTGTTGAAGTACTTGTTGGATTCCAGTTTGTAATCTACAACCATTTTTGTCCACAGGTTTTCAAACTCTTCTATTATCAAGCAGTTGCCTATGATATCTTCAAACTCCTCTGGTAAGCCTTCATTGCTTGCAAAGCATTTTAGATTTTTGTTGTAGCATTTTTTTTGATGTGGAATAAGCAATTTCTGTGCTTCGTGTCAGGGAACACTTGTTCTATAGCTGCTTTCATTGTTGCATCCTGATTAGTTATAATTGTCACTAGATGCTTTCCGCCCATTCCTTCTATGAAAGCTTCGAAAACCCATTTGAAAGTCTCTATTGTTTTGTCGCATATGATGACACATGCAAACAAACAGGTATGTCCATGTCCTGTCACTCCTACAAATGGTGCAAAAGGTAGGTTGTATTTGTTTGTCATGTATGTGGTGTCGAAGCTCACACAGCCTTAATAGTCTGCATAGTATTTCATTGATTCTGCATCTCTATAGAAAATGTTTTTAACTCTAAGATTTTCATCTACATCAAACTTGTAGAAGAAGCTTGGGTCCTTAGCTTTCTTTGCTGTGAAGTAGTTTAGTGCTTGCTTCATGTCTGATCCAGTGATTATTCTGCTTAGCTTAGTTCTAAAATTTGCTACATCTTTCTTCTTGTAAGGTAGAGCTGTGATGCCTCCTCTCAGATATGATAGTACCGATATCATCTTTCTTGTGGGGATGTTGTCATTTAGTGTTCTAATTATTGCCTTCTCCATTTCTATCATATACTTGTGCCCACTGAATAGTTGCTCTCTGTCTTTAGGCTGCAGTCGATGGTTGTGATCTAGGTCTAATCTTATTACTTTCCATTTTCCTTTTTCTTCCTTGACAACCATCGCCACTGGGCAATCTATTTTAATCTGTACATTTGTTTTTCTCTTTGGTTCTTTGTCCTTGTTATTTGTATGTATCTCTATTTCTTCTTCCTCATCTCCTTTTGTTTTCTTCTTTTTAGGTTTGCCATAACAGTGGCATTTCATTTCTACCTTGAAGACCTCATTGTTCCTTTTCTTGTCTATTGTTCTGCTTGTATGTGTGATGACTATGTTGAATCCTGCTTGGAATCCATAGAAGTGGAAGAAATATTGTGCATCTTCTCGGCTTTCGAATTACATCCCCAATTGAGGTGTGTATCTGCTATTATAGTCTGCATTGTTTCCCTCTCTAGCTGCTCTTTGTTCTGACTGAATGAATGCATCAATCTCTTCTTCTGCCAGCATTTGATCTCCTTCTTTGTTGTTTGTGCTCTGATTTGCATCTTCAGGTCTGCTTGATGTTTCATTTGAGTAGGTCTGGTGAATGTTGTGTGATGTTCCTTCTAGTGACCCACTTAGCTATGATGTTCCTATCACAATACTATCTGTTGTAGTATTATCCATCCCAATGTTATGTGATGTTTCCTACATGCATCAATAGTTTATTTTTATTAATTCTATGTCGAAAATGAATATGTTTCTTTATTTTCTTTGTTTTCTAAGATTTATATTCTGCTCTTACTTGCTCAATGTCCAAATCGCTAAATATGTTAGTTCCCCAATTGTAGTTGTTCCCTGTCATTGTTTCATGTTCAAGGGCTGCAAGCTGTAATTCATGCATGAAGAACATAAGTATCTTATTTTAACTTTTGATATTTTTCTCATGTATGCATTTTTTTATTTTTCTTACCCCTTCTTCTTGTTCTTGTTCTTGTTCATCATAGTCCCAATTGACAAAGTCATTGTAGCTTCCATAGTCTCCTTCATGTACCTGCTGACAATCGTCATAGAAGTGTAAGTTTGATAGCCTACCCACTACTTTTGGTTTTTTGTATACTACATGTGCTCTGAATTTTTTTACTGGTTATCTTCCCTGGATGATATTTGTTCACTTTGTGTAGAGTCTTGCCTTGTCATGTATAAATCCTAAATTTGTGTTAGCTGCAATAATTATATTCTGGTTATTCAGAATAGAAGCTAGGAATTATATCTGAATGCATGCTTTTTGATCATATGTACCTCTATGTTGATGTCTCCAAGTAGCAAAGATGTATATGTTGCATATGGATCCTGCATATTTGATTCCAGTTAGTATGAAAATAATGTTTTATCTTTTTTACATTGTGCTTGTTGTTTATTTACATCGTCATTGAAGTTGTAAGATTTGTATATTTCTCATATAAATTGAACATGAATGTACAATTTGATTACCTGGTAACTTACTGGAATTATGTTATCTTCTTGTGAGTTCCTTATCTCTTCCATGATTAGCCCTGTGTAAGTTCCTGGCCAAATATATTCTGAGTTGAGCATCAACTGATTTGCATCTGTGTCCTTCAATTGATGTTTGCCCTTCTCCATTGTTGTATATCTTCTCATTCTCTCATTTTCTTGTCACAGTAAAAGATGAACTGGTGTTAGAACTGAGTGGTTGAACACCAGCAGGAAGCCAAGTACTTGTTTCATGCTTGTTTTTGCCATGGATCTTAATTGAC